CTCACCCCTCCCTCGTCCTCCCCTCCTCTCCTGGGGTCCGGCTGGGCCAGTGCTCCCCTCCCCTCCCCTCCGCTGCCCGCCCCGCCTGTAGGAGCAATGAGGTGGGGGAGGTTGGGCCGCCAGGGAGTAGGGTGCCCTCCCCGCAGAGGCGCCCGGGAAGGGCCCGGGCTCCCGGGCACCCCGTTCGGGTGTGGAGGCTCTTGTCCCCTAGGAGAAGGCAGGAGGGGTGTCCTGCTGCGGAGGCGGAGGCCCACCTTTGGGGGACAGGACAGGCAGGGTGCAGGGTGAGAGCGGAGCCCAGGGGGCCCTTCCGGCCCAGCCACCTCTCGCAGGCCGTCATTCATTCAACAGAGATTCGGTGCACACCGCTGTTAAAGAGCCTCGGGGGCCACACCCCCCTCCGTTTCTTCCGGGGAGGGCAGGGCCATGGGCCGGGCCAGGGCTCCGTTCAAGTGTCCAGTGAGCGTACTGACAACCTGAACTTGGGGATAGGGGGTAGGGGAGCCTCGTGAAGGGGATAGCAGCTGGGGGTCGGGATGAAAGATTTGGCTAGGAAAGCAGGGCGTGGGCATAAATCTAATGGGGGCGAGGTCTCGGGACGCACCCCATTTCCGGAGCCAGAAAACCAGCGTCCTGCAGTGCTGTAGCTTGAATAGCGTAGCCGCGTACTCTGGGGCCTGGCACCGTATCGGGCCCAGGGGGCGCGCTGTCGGTGGCTCTGGTGCCTCGCCCCATGCGTAGGTAGCCGCTGGCAGAGGGCCGTGTTTGGAGAGGGCCAGCCGCATCGACACCTGCAGGTGAGGCGGAAGCGCGGGACCGGGTGCGCCCCGCCTCCAGCACCTGCCCCGGCCAGCCCCGCCCCGCCCTCTCTGACTGGACAGTCTGCTGCACTGATTGGCCGACTCTTCTGTTCTCGGGGATGCGGAGCGGGGAGGCGTGGACCGCATCTGCAATCTCAGGGGCTGTTGGAGACCCGATGGGCCCTGCGGGTTGGCGAGCCCCCTCCGTCAGTCTCCCTCAGAGGGTGTCCGCTTTCGTGGAGCCGGGGAAGGAGGGTGGCCGCCCAGTCGGTGTGTCCTGAAGCGCAGCTCCTGAGGGCAGCCCCGGCACTGCGCCAGGACGCGGAGGGCCGCGGAGGGCGGGAAGGGCCGAGCACGACGGAGCTGGTGGGCGCTGCAGCTAGTGGAGCCCCGGCCAGGCCAGCCCCCCAACCCTCCTTCTCCCCCCCCTCCGCCCCCGCCCCAGACCCCGGAAGGCCACGTGCTGCTGCCAGGCCCACTCGAGTGGGCACGTACTGTTCATGGAGCAGGCAGCAGAGTGGCAGGGAATGCGGATGGTCTGGGAGGGGATATCCAAGTGGGACTGGGGGCGCGGGTGGGGGGGCGGGGGGAGAGGCACCTCCAGGAGTGAAACCAGGGAACACTGGCCTGAGACGGGAGTGCTGGGTTCCAGTCGCAGCTCTGCTCCCCGGGCGCTGGGTGACTTTGGGCAAGTTATGTGACCTTTCCACCTGCATTTTCCCAGTGGGGAAGGGAGGAGGGCTCTAACGACCTCATAAAGCAGCTGAGTGGATGCGGGGTTCCTGTGACATCACACAGGTGGAGCGCTCACATCGAGGCCGATGCGGGGGCCGCAGACGGTGTTAAGACACGTGACAAAGCAGATGGCCCCTCCGTCTGCTTCCTGCAGGAAGCTTCTCATCTCTTCCTTGACCATGACTGTCTCTCAGGCAGTGGGGGGTGTGGACAGAGAAGCCGCCCACCTCCCCAGGAACACTGGGCTGACTTGGGGACCAAGCCCGAGGTGTGTTCACTCGGGGGGCTTGAAGCTCTTTGGGCTGACGTGGGAGCAAGAAGGGGCAGCTCGATGCTGAGACCCAGGGCCAGCCAAGGCGTCCCCATCGGCCGTTCCCCGGGGGTCCCCGCATGCCTGCGACATTGCAGGTGTCAGTCGACACTTAGCACTTGACTGATCCCTGGTCCCAGGAAGCCCGCCTTTTCTTTTAAGGCACCCACGGGCGCCATAACTAATGACTGCAGACTTGGTGGCTTATAAGAACAGAAGTGCACTCTCTCGAAGTTCGGGAGGCGGCAGCCTGAGATCCTCCCGGGGTCCGGGAAGGGTCCTTCCTGCTCCTCCCACTCCCGGTGGCCCCCGGCACCCTCTGGCTTGCAGCTGCATCACCCCATCTCCGTGGTGCCTCCTGTAAGGACCCTCGTGATCACCTGGATAAGCCAGGAATCTCCCTGTCTCCATTCCATGCCCTGGGCCATGCAAGGTGACAAGGAATTAGGACAGGGACATCCTTTGGGGTCATTATTATTCAGCCCACCACAGGAGGATCCAGATAGGGGCTCTGTGGTGGGGTTTAACTACTCGGAGGGGGGGTCCACAGGTGTCTGAGGGAACTGAAGGTGCAGACCTGTTCTGAGTGGCTCTGGGCTCTGCTTGGGGGCAGTCTGATGGAAAGGGGACACTCATGAGATTGGGCCCTGCATTGCTGGTTACCGTGGATGGAAGCAGCCTGGAGCAACCATCAGCACGCCCTGTCCCATCAGCGGCAGCCAGGAGCATACGTTTTTGCGGTGAGCGCGAATCCAGAGCTCAGCTTCCCAGGAAGGTCTTATCTGCGCCTGGATGCTCCTGTCTCTGTGTCCCCTCCGCGTTCCTGGGGCTGCCACGCCTTTAGTTTGATTATAGATCTTGCTAAATGAGCCCCTGGACGTGGGACCTGTGACGTCAGATCCCAGGACTGCCCTCCCGTCCACCAGCTGGTTCGATGAAGACAGGGCTCTCAGGAGAAATAGAGCTAACAGGGTGTGTATAGAGAGAATTCGTTTCAAGGAAGTGGCTCGTGTGGCTATGGAGGCTTTATAAATCCCACATCTGCAGGTGAGGGGGCCGGAGACCCAGGGAAGAGTTGTGAGGGGGGCCCACAGGCCGCCTGCTGGAGGGTTCCTGCTCAGCCGAGCCCAGCCTTTGTCCTCAATGGGCCCTTGGTGGCTTGGGTGGGGCCGCCCTCCTGGTGCCGCTGTAACGGAACGCCAGACCGGGTGGGTCATACGCGAGGCAGTGTTGGGAGCTGGAGCGAGACGGGGTGCCAGCACGGTCAGGCAGGGGCCCTCTTCCCGTCCCTCGTTCCACGTGTCCCCGTGGCGGAAGGGGTGGGGGCTGCAGGGCTGCCTTTCATGAGGGTACCAGTCCCGTTCTGGAGTCGCCACCCCAAGGCCCCGCCTCCCAACAACTTGGGGGGTACGATTCCGCATGTGAATCTGGGGGACAAAGACATTCAGGTCATAGTCCCCACCCATGTTATGGAAGGCAATCTGCTAATTTAAGTGTTACTATGATACAAAAAAACACCTTCACGGGAACATCCAGAACACTGTTTGAACAGATGTTCCGGGCACCCCAGCCCAGCCAAGTCGACACGTAAAATTCACCATCAAACTTCTATTCTACTTCAAGCGTTTTTAAAAATCTTTACGAGGTCCCGTTTTAACCCAGCAGTGCCAGCGCTGGGCCTGAGTCCCCAAGTCCCGGCTGTCACACCCAAAACAAGCTGAGTGTTTAATGATCGGGTCTAGGTCGCTTTGGGGGTTCTGGCTAACCTGCAGAGACCTCTTTGGGACTGGCGGCCTGTGCTCTGAAACCAGTGCCGTTGGTGCTCTCCAGGGGACCCCCCAGGAGCCGGGCACGGGGCGGGGGGCACACCTCGCACGTGCATCTGCCTCAGCCCCTGCGGTGTCTACACTGTCCATAGTCCCTTTGCTCACCAAGCTTGGAGCTCCATACTTTGCAAAGGCTTGGGGTGTCCCGTGTGGCCGCCATCCGGGCAAGTGGTTTTAACTATCACAGCGAGTGGCCGTCACGTGACGGCATCACTCCCTTCGCTCCGGTTCTGGGCCAGAACCCTCGGCCTGCACGGCTCAGGCCCCCACATCCGATGCCGGATGCAGCGCTTACAAAAATGTGTCCTGCTCGTCCCTGTCACCCACACCCCCGTGTCCCACAGAGTAAAGGCTGTGCTTCTGCATCAAAACACCAAAAATGACCAGTTACTCTCATGATAAATGAATTTTTCACTCTCAGCCGGCAACGCCACGTCGGGATCTGGTCCCCGTTCTGGTCGCTTGGGGGGCTGGTGTGCTTTGCCCCCTCCCTGGAAAGGCCGTGGGGGGGGGTGCCGCACCTCCAGACCTAGAGGGAAGAGGGGTCTGTGGCAACTGGGAGACTCCAAAGTCAAGCAAATAAAATAACTTGAGGAAAAACGACAATATCAGGAAACCTGTGTCTGTTCTAAGAAAAGTCTTTTTTTTTCACAGTATAATGACTCACTTATACAGAGGAAGTGAGCTCTGTTGAAAAATACTTGAAGTATTCTCTCAGGGGGAGAAAACAATTCTTCACCAGCTTGGCTGGCCCCGGAGTGGGGTGCCTTGCTCTCTGTCTGTCCCGAGCCAGCAGCGACAATTCCTCGTGGGGAAGCAGGGCGGAGTGCCTGCTGGGAAGGAGGGAGGGGGCTGATCACCAGGGGGGCGCCACGTGCCCCAGGCCAGGGGGACCTCGGCAGAGGCGGGTGGAAGCTGGCTGGTGCCCGTCCGCCGGAGTATGTCCAAGTGTCTCAGACAAACCCCCTTAGAAGACCCCGTGCTCCTCGCCTGTCCTGGGCAGAGGGGGACGAGATGCCCACCCTCCCCCAGGGAGCAGCCAATCCCTGTGAGAAGCAGGCAGGTTGGGGGGTCCCCTTGGCCCAGCGTTTCAGGGAGAAGCAGCCATCATGGCGCAGACCCACACAGCGGGAGGGGCAGGCCCTGGGCACGTCCGGGCAAACCTCACTGTGCCTCACTCCTGAGCAGTCTGGTGCACCCGAACCCCTGAGCTGTCTGAGCACGTCCCGAGGGGCCTGTGGCGGCTGGTACTTCGGGCCCCGTGTGCGGGGTGGGCGGGAGGGGAGAACACGCCACCCGCCCCTTGCGACGCAAGTCGACCCGTGGGGCTCAGGTCTCGGTAGACGTGGCTCCCGGTGCCCCGCCTCGTGCTCCCCGGCCCCCCTGGAGTCAGGGAGCGTTCCTGGATCTACTTCGGGAGGCGAAGG